CAACTTCCAAGGGAAGTGGTGCTGGCCCCTACCCTGGGGGTCTTTAAGAAGAGGCTGGATGCCTACCTGGCTGGACTCATTTGAGTCCCGTTTCTCTTTTTGGGGTTTTTTGTTGTTCTCCCGCCCTGGCGGGGGGTCGGGCTAGAAGATCTACTAGGTCCCTTCCAACCCTTAATCTATGAATCTATGAATCAAACTCAACACTTTGAAACACCTCCTCTTACTATGCATGCACACAGTAGCTCCACCCTATTCCTTGCCATTCCATGGCTCTGGAAAGCCCGGAGGGATGGGAAGGTCAAAAGCCTTGAGAATTGCTGGTACTAGTTCAAGGCAGGAGAAAGCAGGAGAGCAAAGATGCAAAATCCCTACCCCAGATACGAAATAGTCTCTATACATCTACCTGCAGTGTTGGAAGCTGAGAGGCATAAAGCAGCTCGTCTCCCAAAACAATACTCATACATCTTGGAGAGGAATGGCAGAATGGATCAGTCAGCCCACTATGCCCAGAAGGGCAGAATCCTAATGGATCCCAGCTCTCACACATGGGGACAGGGAAAGTAAACAGCTTTCCTCTGAGGGGCAGCCCCTCCCCAGATGCCAGCATGCACACAAGAAAGCAGAGAATATGACGGACTGAGTTCACTGCCTCTATATATGTTATGTCTCTTCGCCAGTCTGGTCCCATTTCTAAACAGCCCCCAATCCCAACCCCCCCGCAGTTTCATAGTGCTTAGGGTCAGAAGGGACCTAAACAGATCATCAGGTCCAACCTTCTGCCCTGGGCAGGAATGGGCACATTGGTCATATCACCCCAGCTGAATATCTGTCCAGCCTCCTCTTGAAGACCCCCAAGGTAGGAGAGATTACCACTTCACTTGGAAGCCCATTCCAGAGCCTGGCAGCCCTAACTGTAAAGTAACGTCTCCTGATGTCCAACCTGAAATTCTCTCTAACAATTTGTGGCTATTATTCCTAGTAACTCCAGGTGGTGCCGTTCATTCTCAGATTTCAGCCCAGGGTACAGTCTGAATTTAGGCTCCACCTACACTGAAGAGTGTCCTGAGCATAGCAAGATCATTTTAAAAAACAACCCAAACTCCTAACATACCCATCCTGGCAAAAATCCTAATGTAGACATCACTGTTGATAGTTTAATTCCACTTGAGAAACTGGGTAGCCAAAAGAACTTTGGTGGTTTTGCTTATGTAGTTTGACCAGCAAAGTCTTTTAAGTGTAAGCATACTTTCATTGAGCACAGGGGGTACCTCGGTTTCAATGACCACAGCGCATCCCCTTGGAGCCATGCTGTAAACTGACAAGAGGCTGCCTGGAAATCCCCTTCCCCAGTCTTGCTGGAAACAGGCATTTCATAGTTTCATAGTTTGCAGGGTCGGAAGGGACCTAAGCAGATCATCAAGTCTGACCCCCTGCCTTGGCAGGAAAAAGTACTAGGGTCAAACAACCCCAGCAAGGTGTACGTCTAACACGATTTCAATCTCTGTGGCTCACAAGCTTTAGCACATGCCATTCCCAAGATCAACAAACTTATTCAATACTGCCCACCAAATGTCAGTGGGCCTTGTTCTACAAAATTGGGTCCTGAGGGCTTAGCACCACTCCCACACACTAGGACTAGATTCGGGGGACCCAGGACTCCTGCCCCCACCACCCCCCAGGACTGGATCCCAGGAGACGAGAGCCAACCACCCCTTCCGCACTGGGATTAAGGCTCAGGGACCCAGAGTCACCCCCTCCCAGCCCTCCACACGCAGATTGGGCCATGGGACCCCTCACCTGGCCTTGCGCACTAGGACTAGGTGTCCAATCAATCCAGGGTACAGAGCTCCCCATGGGCGTGGAGATTTGACAGCAGAGGAGAGGTGACACTGCTCCAAACCTGGAAGCTGGATGGATGTTGATCACCCCAATCTAAGCCCCTGGGAACCAACCTTTTTGGCAACTGTACCACAAATTAGCTCTGCACCCTTCTGCGTACTACCCCAACCCCCTTCCCTGCCCAACCTGCAGCTCTACTTTCTGCTCCGTGTCTTGTGTCCCCTGTGCCATCCACTGCTGTGCTGCCTGCCCCTTCCCCAATGTGTCTCACACACGGGATTCTTGTGCCATGGGTGCCACCAGCTGGCAACTCGTGATCTAAAGACAGATTTTAGAGCACACAGACAGGCTCTGGACAGATGAAAAGGACCCGTCTTATGGAAGAACCCATCAACCAGCTGTTCAAAGGTAACTGTTCCAGCTGCTCTTGCAGTTATATAAATGGAGTAAAAACATTGTAATTTTACCCTTCTTTCATTCTGGGTCAAACATGAGTGATTTAAATCCCTTTTACTGATATTGGATGCAAGTGTTACTTCCTTAGGCTCCTACCTACCCTCCTGCTGCTTTTCCTAACAGCCAGCACCTGCTCCCCAGCAGCAGAAATACCCCTCCTCTTTTAAAGCAGGTTGCACGTAGGTCAGTCCTGCCAGCTTTAAAATAACCTTTCAGACAGAAAGGGCCACTCAGATCAACTAGCAAAGCACTCTGCCCAGATACCTTGCAGGCCTCAAGAGGCACTGACCCTGTCACAACCTACCCTGCAGGTCATTTTGAAAACTTTTGCTCTGGTTCGGCAACTCCCAAGATTTCCTGACCGCTGGAATGCTGCCAGCCCGTACCCTCTCATACAACACCCTGCACCAATATCAACCTTTCAGCAGCGCTTACTGCAGACTGCTTCCCATGGTGCTGCCAGGAGCAGCCTCGGGCCCCCGGCTCTGGGTCACTTCGGAGGCTCTCCTCCCCATCACAAAGCTCACCCCCTCACCAAGGATCCTCTTCCACAATACCAAGGAGGGCCGCCATGCAAAACGCTCGTTTCCAGCAGAAACAAACCCACAGAGGCACCTGAAACATCAAATCCGACTTTTCACACCTTCTCTTTCTACCCCCCACCCCCTATTAGGAGACTCTGGCGATGGGCAGCAGAGAGACACCAGCAGCGGAGGAGGCCCCTTACCGACACCCTGGGGGGCCCACACGGCTTCGCCTCCCACCCCGCAGCAGGGAGCAGGGACCCAGCCGCGCCGGAAACGGGAGCTCCCCGGGGCGGGCAG